TAAATGAACATCCTGGGAAACATTTGGTTAGGGGCCAAAAGAGTGCTTCTGTTTTCCTCTGCCAACTAAGGACTAGGGAAGGCTGTCTGGAGATGGCAGGGGGATGGAATATGGATCTAAGCAGAAATCTGAAGGCTGGGACATCTGGGTAGGCAGCCAGGGAGGTTGAGGGGAAGAGAGAATGAGTTAATCTCCAAACTCTAAGGAAGGCAAGCCCGAGCACCACCCAGAACCTAGTTATTCCCTCTCACCCGTGACAGCCCTTTGGAGGTTTATAATCAGATTTATAACCTTCTGAGAATTCTCTTCTTAAGCCCGCTCTGACCAGCCCACCCCTTCTTCACAGGACATTTACACCAGTCCCCTCCTCTCCTCCATCCTGGCTGTCCTCCTAGGGATCCACCCAGTGGACTGGGGTCCTAGATATTTGATCCCCACAGGTGACAGAAGAAATGTCACCTCCCTTTTTCTACACAACTCACTTCTATTAATGAGACCCAAGATCAATTAGGTATTAAGCAGTCACATCTTACCCTCTGAAACCAAGCTCTGTGTCTCCTAACACTGACAGTTCAAACACATCTCCCCCATTCCGGACATGGGCAGATGGTTCCATGGACCTCAGGCTAGAGAAACTTGTTCTCTTTCCTCAGGCTCAGCCCATTTTTGATCTTGGCTAGTCTTAGCATAATAGCTTCTGTGCAAATGGTCAGTGGGACTATATGATTCCAGTTCTAGGAGGTACCTAGAGCGGTCACATTCGTAGGCACAGAAAATAGAATGGTACTTATTGTTTACTGCATTCAGAGTTTCAGGTTTTCAAGATGAAAAGAGTTCTGCAGATGGATGGCGGTGGTCATTGCACGACAATGTGAATGCACTTAGTGTCACTGAACTGCACGCTTAAACATGGCTAAGATAGTAAATTTCATGTGTATTTTACCACAGTTTTTTAAGTGATAATTGCTGGGGCCTCTCGTTTCCCCATGTCCCCAGGAGAATATCTCCCCCGCCCCAGGCAGCTGGACTCCCACCCTCACCGCTTCTGGAAGACCCAGGGTCTTGCAGAAGACCCCTGTGCACACACCTCTGAGAGAGCTTGGAGAACAAGTGAAACCATTGGTACCCTTAACACTTCGCTGTCCCTGGAATTCAGTCTCCCTGTTGGGCCAGCCTCAAAACAACCATCCAGCCCCACCTCTGTTGATCATTCCTCCACCTCTAGCTCAAGATCTCGACTTCCCTGTCATCTGAACTTTTGTCAGTGTCACCTAGACTCACTTCTATTCCTCACTAAACCAGTCAGCACCCAATGCCCAACAATATGGCTCCTACCACCTTCCATCTCCTCCCTCCCCACCCCCAAAACCTTCCCCTGCCACATCACCAGTGGCCTCCTAAGTCCCAAGGCCAGTGGGTACTTTCCATTCCTTCCCTCCCGGCAGCTCTCCGCAGCCTGTGACATGGCCGACCATGCCTTCCTCCAAACCCTGCCCTCCCGGGCCTGCACGACACCCTACTCGCGTTCTCCTCCTACCTCCCTGACTGTCCCTGCTCCAGGGACTCTTTCCCAAAGCTCCAGCCTGGACCTACTGCTTTCAGTACTAGTCTACACAATCTTCCTGCTTAATCTCATCCCCTCAAATAATGATTCAGTGAAACAAAAAAACAACCCTCAAGGCCAGACATAGATCCATATACTCAGCTGTCTTCAGGATGTCTCCACCTGTCCCAAACTGGACTTTTCATCTTCACCCCAGATGCGTTCTTCCTCTCTGTTCTCCGACAAAACTGGCCGCACAAGCATCTACCCGGTCTCCCCAGCTATAAGCCATAAGCTGTAAGAGGCATCGTGGACTCCCTCCCTCTCAAAGTCCAGCCAGTCTCTAAGCCCTGTTCTAGTCTCCTAAATTTTTTTTTCAAAGCATCCCCTCCTCTCCGTCTCTGCTCCCGCTCGGGCCCCTCCTCTCTCGGCTGGATTCATGCAACAGCCTCCTGACTGGTCCCCTCCCTGTGGCCTAGGCCTCAGCTCCCCCATCCACAATGCCACAGTCGGTCTCCTGAGAAGGCAAGCAGGACCAGGTTCCTCCCTGATATCACCCTCCCCTCTGCCCCAGGAGAAAATCCAAGCCCCCAGCTGTGGCTTCCAAGTCTCTCCAGGATCTGGTCTTCCTCTAATCCACTGTCCACAGAGCTGTCAAACAGGTCATCGCTAAAGGGCCCAGGGTGTCAACCCCCCCCCCTTCACTTCTGTCTCTGAGCCTCGGCTCTAACCCTCCTCCCCGCCAGAGCGCTCATCCCTACCTCCTCCACACTGACAGTCACCGGGGTAACTCCCACTTCCCCTTCCCCATGCAGCTCAGAGGTTGCCTCCCGAGAGAGCCTGCCAGCCCCTGACCTGGGTTGCTCCCCGCCCTCCCCACTCCTTTACCGTTTCTTCTAGAACTTGCATTTGTCCTGCATTTACCACCTCTCAGCTTACTCAGGAGTGCCCCCACTGCCCCCAGGAGCTGTGAGCTTCCTAAAATGCTGCCTTTCCTTCCTGAGACCCCAGAGTCTAGCATGGGGGCTGGCACCCAGAAAGCGCTGAATAAATGTTGAGTAAATGGATGAGTAACCGAAGAAATGATCAGTGTCTAACGCCTACCCCGGCACCGGAGCCTCCAGCTCCCAACTGTGCCTAGCCCAGAGCTTGGCACACAGTAGGCGCTCGGTAAAGGTTGTCCGTATTCTATTTTCTGAATTAATCTGCCTCAACGCAAGCTCTGGGGCAGGCTGAGATATGATAAGGAGAAAGGGGAGGGTCTGGATGCGGGAAACTTTAGCCAAAAGAGACGCTTGGGGGTGCACCGCAGTGGGGGAAGGGGCAACAGGGTTGCCTGGAAAGGCGGGAAGAGCTAAGTCCCCAGCCGGCTGCCCCTCCGCGCCCCGAGGTCGGGCACAGTCCCGCCGGGCTAGTCCGCCTCAGCCCGGACAGCGCAGGACCCCGGCGGTCACCCGGGTGCTGAGACCCCCCGGCTCGCGCGCTCGGCGCTCGGCGCTGGGCGGCGTGTGTGTCGCTTTAAAAGCTCCCTCCCGGCGCGCAGGGCCGGCCCCTTCTCTGACAGCGCCGAGCGAGCGGAGCCGAGCGAGCCGGGCGGCCTTTGAGGGAGCCAGCGCCCGCCCGGGCGGCCAGT